TGACCATCCAGAGAAAAGACAAGGTAAATTTAGCTCTTCACTGTTAGAATATAAGGTTGTATTATTGACCAGGCTTTAAGGTTTCCAACTCCAGGCAATATTCAATATTCACTTATTATATGTTAAAAAAATCTCAAAATCTAGGTCAGTACACTGTTATACACACTATATTGCCAAAGGTATTCACTCACCCAGTCAGATGATTGAATCCAGATGTTCTAATCACTTCCATGGTCACAGGTGCATAAAATCTATGGAATGCCAGGACTGCCATAATAAATTAATTAAATACACCATTAAATAATTAATTAAATGTGGTAATAATTAATTAAAATTGGAAATAATCAATTACATAAATATTTACGACACATGTAATTAATTAATTATTGACACATTTAATTAATTATTGACATAATTAATTAATGACACATTTAATAAGTTTGGTGGAGGGGGGAATTATAGTTTGGAACGGGACATTTTGGCAAACAAAGATATTTTGAAATATTTAATTCTCCTAACTTTGTGGGAACAGTTTGGGGATGACCCCTTCCTATTCCAACATAGAATGAAAATGGAAAGAAATGGATGAGCTTGTTTGTAGTGGAAGAATTTGACTGGCCTGGACCTGGCCTGACCTCAACCCGATAGGGTAAATTTCGGTTAAATTAAAGCAGAGATTGCGAGCCAGGGCTTCTCGTCAACATCAATGTCTGACCCCGCAAATGTGCTTCTGGAAGAATGCTCAAAAACTCCCTTAAACACTGGCGGGCAAACAAATTGGCTGGCATCATATTAAACCACATGGATTAAGAATGGTATGCTACTAAAGTTCATATGTTTGTGAAAGCAGACAAGCTAATACTTTTGGCAATATAGTGTATCAAATGATTAGGATCTATTAGCCTTTATATTTTGTTCCACCCTAAAAAAAATTGTATTAAAAAATCAACCCTAAAATGTTTAGAATTTTGGCAGCATATTGTAAAGTGTATAGTTGCCTAAGTACACATACTATTTTTGAGCATGCTTAACATTTTTATATTTGCATTTAGATGATCTAAAAGACCATATTTAAAACCTATTCAACTCAAGACTTTATATTTAAAAGACCCAGAAAGCTCTGTTAATCATTCAAATAATTTTTAGGAAGTTTGTGCAAGAATCTTTTGTGCTACATTAATAAATTAATTTCAGTCACTGAATAAAAGCCTTATATTTAATTTTCCATGAATGACTGTATTACAGGAAGTTTAATTTGATTCTCCTGTGAATTTAACTTGCTCTTTATTTGTAATTTTTTGTATTATTTCTATAGCCACACTGAAGTACAAGATGGTGATAAGTGGACAAACCTTTAGTGCCCATCAACAGATACTGGAAAAAGTAAAGACTTTAAGTGAGGATCCAGATTTGAATTTGATCGAACAGAAAGAAAGCAGTCAGGATTGCCAGGCCATTATTGTCTTCTGTCCCATTGTTTCACGTATGGGGACAGATATTGAGGCAGCCATGACGCAAGTCAAAGGTAAGGGAAATAATTAAATTAGTCATCCATTCAAAAAAATTGCAGTTGCATTCTATGAGACATTTTTTGGGCTTGAGAATACGACCTGAAAGTAACTCATAATAATGATGAGCTTTTAAAAGCATCAAGAATAGCATGAATGTTGTCTAATGTTTCTATAGTATAAGGATAATCTGTGGCTATTGAAATTTATTTATTTTAATACTTTTCCACTGTTATGTTATGTTCTCATAATCCGTCTCCTCTTTTTTGCTCTCTGTAGGTTCTCAGCCTGTCATTCTGGTTTTGATGCATCACACACATGAACCCAGACATGTAACTTTTATGAAAACATGGGATGGCGTTTCTAATGTTGTGTTACTATTCCATGTTTTCTACCATGAGACAGTGCATGGATTGTTGCAGTGTCAGCAAAATAACAGTGCCATTTCTGAAATTCGAAATGCATTACTGGAGCACGCAGATATCCAGACAATTAAAGATACAAGTGGAAAGACACAGAATGTGGCTGCTGAAAGTAGTAGTGGCTATAGTTTTGGTAGGTTGATACCCAAATACTTTGGTAAGTAATGATAGTGTAAAGTCAGAAACTGTAATGGCTTGTGTCAACAGCAACACTAAAATAAACAATTCAAGACATGAAATACTATTTCTTAAATGTGCCTTTCTGCATCAACCAGTCAGCACCTGCTTAATGCAACTAAGAAATATTAGATTTTACAAGCTAGAGTAAAATAAAAAAAGATACTTATTTCAATGCTTCATTGCAAAAGCTTTTTAACATTCCACTCAGTTATGTAGTGTTTACAACCCGACCAATTCATTGTGTGTGGTCAATAAACATGTAAATATATCCCATGCATTACTCTTTTGTAATCTACTTCTTGTTGCACTATATCACTTGGGTAGTGTAGATTGCTCTGACCATTTGAGTAGGAAGCGAAGATTTTATGGTTTTGGAGAGGCAAAATAATTATTTTGTACATTGTGAAACAAGGGCAGTGCAGATTTGTCTTTGTGACCTTTATTTTAGTACTTTAAGAAATTTCAGCTGTAAGGGTAGTTGCAGAGTCAACAGGTGTGATCATGAAGTGCCAAGGTCAGAGACACAGTATATGGGTGTAGATAGTCATAAAACTAAGTTCAACTGTACAATTGATATTTATCTCTAAAAAACAAATGTGACAGCTACAGCTGTATGTACCCAGTGACACAGTAAGTCTTTTGATCATCAAGATGAATAATCAATACATTTCTATCAAAGTCAAATGTATTGTGATTAGTTTCATGGTTGCTATGTAAATCTGCAAGTTATTTTCATCTTTCAGAAAAAAAATCAAGCCAATGTTTAAAATTGTGAATACAAATGTAAAAAAAACATCTGTTGTCTTCTTTTTCTTTTTTTTTCCTTTTTTTGTAAAAAAATTGAGGCGTCCTGAACAGTTCAAAACACCAGTGTATTTACAGTATAATCTAACCTAGTTCAGCTAATATTTCTGCTTTTATTTTCTATATTCTTGACTTTTATTCACACTAAGAAAGACTAAAGAGTGCAAAGACCACATATTCAATGACAAGCCCACTTTATACATGTATACATTATATTCATAGAAAATGAAAAATTGTGTGTGACAAAGTTTTTTTTTTCTTTATGGCTGGTGTAAAGTTTGTCATCTAAATAAAAATGAACTAACATAAACTGCTCTGTATTCTAGTATTTGACGGAATAATTACGTTTAATCCGGTCCTTTGATTTGCTAGCAACGCCAAATTAATGTCACATAAATGACGTGTGGTACTTAAACCGTGTTTTGAGGCCCCCTGGGGCGTAGAGCTTCTGCAGAAAGGCATTCATGAAAGGGAAAATTAAGGTGGAAAAAATAGTA